CCAAAGTAATATAATAACAATAATTGTACTGGTGTTTTTGAAAGACAATGAAAATTTTTTATAGATAATGAAAATTTATTTCTATTATTTCATAGAAATTCTTAATTCTTTTGTCTTACAAAGCTTTTTTGTCTTGAGCAAATTATTTTGAAGTAATATAATCTTTTTCTAAATATAATTTTTTGAAGTGTCTTAAATAATGGCAGAGCAGAGCGACACGAATTGTGAAATACATCGACGTGTATTTTTATTCCTACCTTTTCTTTTTTTCCTTTTTCTCCTTCTTGAAGAGGACTGATATATTTTTAGAAATTTTCCACATAGTCTAATGTGACAATTTTCTCATACCTTTTCATTAGCAGTTTCATACCAATCGTTTTTCATAAAAGAAAGCTTCTTTAGCTGGAGATTGTGTCATTTTCTTTTGATTTTAGTCCCTTTGGAAGTTATTGATAACATAAGTTCGTTGATCATTCTTTTAGAGGCTAATATACACTAATTTACGTCTTGAATAGATTGCTTTATAGATAAGAATGACGATACAATGGATATCAAAATATATGATGGGGATGGGTAATAAAATGTGTCTTTGACTTTCGCTTTAAAGATCGGTTCAGGCACTATAAGAATTGTAAGTGCGGTACTAAAATTTTATTTATTGACTTTTATTTGAGTATTTGTATCGGTGATGTGATCTATGATTACCCATAAAAAGCGAAGAAGAGTAATATTACCGGAGATAGAAGAGTAAGGAAACCTGCTACTGAATTGAAAACTATTTCCAAAATCCATTAAATAATTATTGTATGAAACCTTAAAAACACACGTTTTATGTGTTTTCTTTAAATTCCGTTAGCTTTTAAAACGACATTGCGTAAGATCATAATAGAAAAATATAGATAAATGCATGTGTTATTCAGTCAGTTTAGAGGAGAATAAATAATTTAGCTTGAAATATGAACAGAAAACGCATCATTTTTTTCTTTTTAAGAAGTACAACAGTAGATTCCTATCGTACAGAAAATTAACTCCATTCTTTTAAAGGGTAAAAATCATGGAAAAACAGAAACTAGCCTAATAAGTAAACTTTTTCGATCACAAGAGAAATTTTGAATAATACATGCATATAAATTTATACATATATATCTATATATATACCAAACATTATAGGCTTAAAAAAAAATCAATAACAAAATCTACCATTCTTCTTTCGCCATGTTTGTAATAAATTTAGCTTTGCGTCCCTCACAGTTACTAGATAAGAATCAAATGTCTGCAAAAAGAATACAGCCGTGACTCATCAGCGTTCGTTTTCAACAAATTTCATTCACTTACCCTCCAAAGGTATTAATTATGGACAACGTCAATAATAAAACCGACCATAAAGGTTGAATGAAGAGGCATATATATATATGTTAATCCCTACGAACATCCGTAGTTCTGTGCCATATCATTAGCTCTTGTAGTTTCCCTTTTCTTCAGAGGTGCAATTGTGTTGCTTAATGAAAGTAGATGGCGTTCTCTGGAAGTGAAAGGAGGAGAGTTTTTATGTGAATGGGAAACAACCTATGATGATACCAATTAATGGAAAATAAACAGCTCGCAATTCCCTCAGGTATGAGTCTGAAGCTGCGGGACCATTTTCTACACTACTAGAAAGTATTGTCTGTGGTTATTTGCATCTCACCCCCTTCCCCCTCTCAGATTCTTACGGGTGTGATATAACATGGTAGAGATTTTCGTTCAAAGTACTTCCCCTCATTCGAGGATAATAGCTTGGCAATGCGTCGTCAGAAAGAACTAACTCATCATCCAAGTAGTTTACCTCCTCGATGTAAGGGTCACCGCTGTCGTGGACGTTGAAGCTGTTTCGCGGTGGGAGTGAGGAACTCGACGGATCGTTCGAGGATTCGCCCGACCCGCTGATTTCTTCCTCAATGGACGTATTGACTAAATTATTCCTGTAGATGTCGGCAACCTTCGCGGTGGTTACCTCGCCGCAACCCCCCCCCGACGACGAGGAAGGGGGGACGCAGGCCACCGGCTGCCAGGGCTCCGCGTAGCCACGCCGGCGAGGTCGCGTCAGTGAGTAGCCTGCACAAGCCAAACGAGGCCCCTCTCCAGCAACGAAAACACCATTTTTGTGAGGATCTTCAACCAAACACCGCAAATCAGACTCCTCTCCCAAGTTGGGCGTGTGGAAGGACCCGTGTAGGAGATCATTGGAGGGCTGTGGAGAAGGAAATAGAGGGACAGGCGCGCCCTCAGCGTGATGAAAAGCCATAGGGGACGCCGTTGCTGAGCCGTTAGCGGACGAAGCTTCGCCTTTACACCTCTCTGCGACTCGCTGCTCATGATGAGGAAGCCCCTCATCGGTGTCGATTTGATCCAGCTGAGGTCCATTTTTCACAATATGGTTGTTATTGTTAAATGAGGAGATGTTAGGCGCGTGGACCACATCGGATAATTCGTTCTTAACCAGCTGGGGATTGAAACCCTCGCGCGATCCACCTTCACCAGCGGAATCATTTACAATATCCACAGCCGTAATTAGCTGATCGGAAACTTCTGGAGAGGTAATGGGAAACGCATTATTACGAACTTGTAAGAAGCAACATTTCCTGTTAAACACATAGCGTGTTAAACCTACGAAACAAACTCGAGTTTCCTGATCTGATTCGCCTGCTGTTCCTGGACCTCCTTCTTGTAGCTGAATGTCTGAAAGAAGCGGATCCACATCTTCGTCTTCGGAATGCTGACTTTGCGAGCACAAACTCCACACGAAATGACAACCCCGACATACGTACCATAAAAACAAAAGTACGAAGGATATAAAAAGCAGCACGAAAAACGTCCAGTGAAGACGATTACTATCAGATTGAGGCAGCAACGGAGACGACGTTGACGACATTAGAGGAGGCGAGGACAGAGCATCTTTCGCTCCATGATGATTCTCAATAGTAGTAGTAAATTTCATAGTACTAACGGATGTGTTGCGCCAACCAGCTTATAGAAGGAATGTGATATTGCTATCTCCTTTTTTTGTATATCAAGGGCGGAAGGAAGGAATATATAAAAAAGGAGGGAGCAGAAAACAAGGAGGCAAATGTTTATTTTACCGTGTCAAGCTAGCCATAGCAAGTTGATCAAGTAGCCAAGATCGTATTAGTAATCTACGTTTATAGCTGCCGTGATCGTTTGTTTTTGACTTTACTTACTCTTCTCCCTTTCCCCCCTAGATACACACACTCACACACTTACAGAAAAAAGTATCAGAAAATTATTAGCTAGATGTCTATTGGTTACAGCATGCCATTTTCTCTGATTTTGCTCACTTTTTGAAAATGGTGACGTGTTGGTAAATAAGCAGTGTGTATAAATGAACAGCAACTATACACATCGATGTATATATCCATCCATCTAAAAAATAGATATTGAGTCGCATTCCCAATACACAAGGATATAAATGTAACACTATCTATATGTAAAAATCCACTAGCAAAGCGTCAACACTTCACAGATGAGCTAAACCTGTTTCCTTTACTAAGGGAGGTGCGTATTCAAAAACCTGTGCAGAAAAAAAAACTTCTCATCAACTCCTCGAGATTGGTTGAATTTCATAAATTATCGCTCCCACAACACCAATTGACGGGTGGAAAAATGAACGACAAAAGAATAAGGAATCTCGATAAAAATATATACAAAAGGACTGAATTTCTTTTCTTTTTCGCGAACCTGAGATAAATGATCGAAATATTAATAAAGGCATTAATATTTGAATGAACTAATGCCCGTACAATTGGTGTCTATCCCCTTACATCTCTCCTTCTTTTGATTCGTTAGGATGCAAGGTCCGCTAAAAGAGGGCGCAACCCCTCCCCCTTCGACTTAAGACTACTCGCAAACGCGATTTCAAGCTCGCCGAAAACCTTCAAAAACTCCCGCATGTCATACTGCTTCTCATGATGAAAACGGCCGAACTCCTCCTTGAAGGTCTTCTCAACGCCGCACATCTCCCGCTCCAAGTGCATTTTCTCCGCGGTCAGAGTCGCGAAGCTATTTCGCGCGGCCGCCAAATTCGCCCCCCCCTCGCTTGCAAGCTTCGCCTCGGCGTTCCGCACATGCCGCTGTAGCGCCTGCATCACGTTCCTCGCGGACCCGATCCCCCCTAGCGTCTGCCGCACCGCCGCGCACATCCCCACGTAGAAGCCCAACGTGCTTCCCACCGTTTGCAGGTCGCGATCGGACTGGTTGTGGTAGAGACACGAGACCGCCGCGGCGTGGTCCCGCACCGCGCCGATCCCCGCGCGCAGCGCGACGTC